TCTTCTTCATTAAGCTTAATCATTCTTTCTTTCTTTCTTTCTTTTTTTTTTTTTTTGAGATGGAGTCTCGTCTCTGTCGCCCAGGCTGGAGTGCAGTGGGCGGATTCTCAGCTCACTGCAAGCTCTGCGCTCCCGGTCACCATGCTCCTTGCTGCTCACCTCCCCAGTAGCTGGGACTTACAGGCGCCCACCTCCCTCGCCCAGCTGAGTTTTTGTATTTTTTAGTAGAGACGGGTTTCACTGTGTTAGTCAGGGATGGTCTCGATCTCCTGACCTCATGATCCGGGCCCGTTCACTGCCTTCCCAAAGTGCTTGGGATTACAGTGCTTTGACCACCAGCCCGGCCTTCTTTTTCTGGTTTTTTTGAGACGGAGGTCTTTACTTTGTTGTCTAGCTGGAGTTGCCGTGTGCGATAATCTTGCTCACTGCAACCTTTGTCTTCTGGTTCAAGCAATTCTTCTTGCCTCACATCTCCGAGTAGCTGCTAGCGGTGCGCTGCCACCTACCCGGGCTAAATTTTTGTGAGTTTTTTAGTAGAGGACAGGGGCTTCACCATGTTAGCCCAGGATAGTCTCAATCTCCTTGACCTGCATGATTCCACCTGCCTCAGCTTCCCCAAAGTGCTTGGGTATTACAGTGGAGCTACCTGGCACCTGGGCCGAAAGCTTAATATCTTCTAACTTTACTTCTTTAAAAGTGAGAGATGTGTGGACTCTGCCTTTTCAGTTGGAAGCACTCGTAAAGGGCTAATTAAAAAAAAAAAAAAAAAACCACTGAGCACAGGTCATCTTAGTAGATATAATAATAAGAAAGAGTTTGAAATATTGTGAGAATTATGAAAATGTGGCACAGAGACTCAAAGTGAGCACACACTGCTGGAAAAATGATGCTGATAGACTTGCTCGATGCACAGTTGCCATAAACCTTCCATTTTAAAAAAATGCAATATCTGAAGTACAACTGAGTGAAGATCAATAAAACAAGGTACGCCTGCTGACATGGCCCTGCCCTCATGGACCTGCCAATGCCAACAAACCACACGTCAACAAACTCACAGCACATTGTGGGGTGCAGGGCTGTGGAGTGAAGCCGGGCCGGGTCAGGGGCCTGGGAGGTGAGGGAGGATGCTGGGGCTGCCCCTGTAAAGGACTCCATGCTTCTACACCATAGAGAGAGCACGTTGTGTTACGTAACTGATAAGTACACAGAGGAGTGGGAAGAGAGCAGGGCTGACCCTCACAGCTGCCCTTGTGTCCCACTCAACAGCGAGGATTTCAAGAACATCAACTCAGAGAAGAGCACGCATGATGGCACCAGATCAAGAAGACAAGACCACTCTGCCTGCAATTTTGTCTGCTGAGATCAAAGCAAGAACATTGAAACAAAAAAATGATCCCTCATCACCTATCCTGGCTGATGTCAGTGATAGCTGCTTTTCTGCCAACAGTGGCCTTAGCCTCACATGGCTCTTTTAGCCTTTTAGGTGACAATTATTAAGATAGCCAAGCACAGAATCACCCCCTTCTTCCTGACAGCATCCTGGATCCTCCCCCAAATCACCCAACTCAAGCCCAGACACTGTAAGTCCTTTTCGATATTACTGAGACCTCCTCATGGTTACCTGTGGTTTTTGGTTTCATGAAATGAGTAAAAAAACTCAATTTTGTTTGGCTATAAGTGCGCTCCTGGTGATCTTTGGCTAGAGAACGTTGACAATGGAAAAGTAATAAAGATCAAATGATTTGAGCAGAAATAATAGTTTAATATCCTTTGTTTTTAGAAACTTGAGGAGAGATTCTCTCCCTCTATCTCTACACTGGAGGACTCTGGTAAGCAAAAGGCCTTGAATGACCGTAAGGAGAACTTTGGAAATCAAAGCTTAGCTACTGTTTCAGTGGACAAGAAAGTTTTCTCACCTGAAAAATCAAATTCCTCTGTGAATTGTTAGGTCCTCGGATGCGCTACGCAGAATTTACTCAGTTTGGTGATCAGATTGGAAATGGAATAGAGGTGTCAAGGGTAGTGTCTTAGTTTGCTGGGGCTACCATAACAAACAAACCGACTGAGAGGCTTCAACGACAGAAATGACATTTTTTGCAGTCCTGGAGGCTGGAAGTCCAAGATCAAAGTGTTGACAGGGCTGGTTCCCCCCGACAAGGCCTCTCTTGAGCTTGGCTTGTAGACGCCTTCTTCTCCCTGTGTCCTCACACGGTCGTCCCTCTGTGTGTCTGTGTCCTCATCTCCTCTCTATAAGGACACCAATCCTAATGGACCAGGGCCTCCCTTAATTTACTTGCCTATTTGAGGAGCTCGTCTCCAAATACGGCCACCTTCGAAGGTGCCGGGGGTTAAACCTTCAACATGTGAGTTTTGGGGTGACACAACTCAGCACGTAACAGCGATGTTCCATTATTTATGAGTTAAAGAGAAGAAATAGAAATGAAAACTGTCAAGTAAAATGAGCCAGCTGGCCCAGTTCAGCTCAGCATCCACTCTCCCCGCTGAGCCATCACACGGAGCACAGCTGTTGGGGGCTTTCATTTCCATTTAACTTCACACCCAGCTCTCAGCAGCAATTAATATTCTCGGTAACTAAAAGTCTCCTCTGAAAACAGTGATAGGAGAAAAATGCTGGCTGAAGCCTTTCAGGCATCATTCAGGTGACATTTGAGTCATTTCCTTGGACCTCTCTCAATCGAACCTCCTAGGTAATTGGATGAATCAGATCAATAAACAGAGCGGATATTTATTTCCACGTCAGCCTTCCTCTCCGCTGGCCATCACTCAGGTGCATGACACAGCCCGCGCTGGACTAGATCCAGACCCGGAACATCGCTCCTTGGCAGCCCATTCTTCTTTGTGCAGTAGCCTTCTAGGTCACCAGGATGGTGACGGACATTTCTGCAAGAAAAATGATGCCTGGAAGTTAAGCCTCAGCCTGTCTGTGGCTGCCCACAAGGTCCCCTAGAAAGGCAGCATTTTCAAGGCCTGTTTTTCAAAGTATGTTATAAAAACCTCGGCCTGTGGAATAGCACTCTCATCACTAGGAATGCAGCCCTTTCCGCACGTGCTCACCCCTATTTTGGGGAGGCATGGGCAGAGCCATGTGGTCCAACCTCACACAATTGCTTCTCTTGGGCACCTCCACAGTGGCGGTACCCCAGCCACTGGGGGCTGCCTGTGAAAGGGCTCAGTCACACACCTCCGACCTTCCCAGATGGTCAAGGTCATTTGAGGGGATGTCAAATACAGTGAAAGGAACCTACAGTCCTGCCAGACCTGGGTTCCCACTGCAGGCCCATCAAGGTCAGCTGCAGGACCTTGGCAGGCCTCTCCACCTTGGGCAGCCTCTGTCATCTGAAAAGGGGTGTTGCTGCAGTTCCGTACCTCTTTCCTAGAGACACTGGGCATGTGCTGCCTGCCTTAGTCTGTCAGGGCTGCTATTACAGAATACCATAGAGTGGGAGCTTAAACAACAGACATGCATTTTTCACAGTTTTGGAGGCTGCAAAGTCTAAGATCAAGGTACCATCAGATTTGGTGTCTGTTTTTCAGATGGTGGCCTTCTTTCTTCCTGTATCCTCACAAGGCAGGGAGAGCTCTCTTGTCTCTTCCTGTTTTTATAAGGGCACTAATTCCATTATGGGGGCCCCACCCTTATGATCTGCTCTACCTCCAATCACCTCCCAACAGTCTCACCTGCAAATACCATCTCACTGGGAACTAGGGCTTCAATGTATGAATTTGGAGGATATATTTAGACCATGGCACTGCCCCCAGAATGCACAGAGCCCTGGGACACCTGCATAAATGTTGATACCATCATCATTATCCCACTGATAGAGAACATGCCAAGACCACCTAGGTTGTTTGCTCACTGCCACACAGGGCAACAGGGATGTGGGCCTTCTGGCCCTCATGGGTGAAGACAGGCTTGTGGACTGTGGTGGGTGTGTCTGCTGGCTGGCCCTCACTGCCCCCACAGACCCCTGGGGGTACCCTTGACAAGTCAGTTCCCTGATGTCCACACTCCCTGCTACCCCACAGGGCCGAGTGCTTACAGATTGCCTCAATAGATGTTGGTAGAATATAAAATTGCCTCTTGTGAGTCTGAAGCAAAAATTAGGATTCTAAAACCCAAGCTCATCCTCCTGCAACTGGATGAGGCCTTATCTCTGGATTGGATGAACATGTGCCCACAAGAAAGCCGTCACCCTATTTGCAATAAATCAGTACAGGCGTTATCATAGAGACTCTGCTGTGAAAGTGGAAAGGAACATGCATTAGGAGAAGGCTAACCCGGCAAGACACTCTCATTAACAAAATTGTCAGAGCACAGAAAAGCAGAAGACAGCCTTTTTCTGTGGATGTGCTGGCAGAACTACGCACTCGTGTTCAGGATATAGAAGCTATTGCGCAGGGAGAGAAGCAACGTTTTGAAAGTGTGAGCTATTTTGTGCTAATCCTCTTCTAATTTTTTTTTCTCGGTCTGATTTAATACATCTTCATTGCAACCAGCTGTATGAGTACGCTTCGGCTACTGTAACAAAATACCACAGACTTGGGGAGCTTAAACAACAGAGACTTACTTTCTCAGGTTTATTTATTTATTTATTTTTGAGACAGAGTCTTGCTCTGTCAGCCAGGCTGGAGGGCAATGGCACGATCTCACCTCACTGCAGCCTCCACCTCCCGGGTTCAAGCGATTCTCCCGCCTCAGCCTCCCAAGTAGCTGGGACTACAGGTTCCCGCCACCAGGCCTGGATAATTTTTCTATTTTTAGTAGAGACAGAGTTTCACCATGTTGGCCAGGCTGGTCTCGAACTCCTGACCTCAAGGGATTCACTCACCTAAGCCTCCCGAAGTGCTGGGATTACAGGCGTGAGCCACTGCGCCTGGCCTTCAGATTTATTTTTTCAAGATCAGCGTGTCAGCAGGAGCGGCTTCCCTGAGGCCTCTCTTCTTGGCTTGTAGATGTTTGTCTTTTCCCTGTGTCTTCACATGATCCTTTCTCCGTGTGCATGTGTGTCTGATGTGACTCTGTGTGACCAAATCTCCTTTTCCTATGAGGACACCAGGCCTATTGGATGAAGGGCCACCTGATTGACCCCATTTTTATCTTTTTTTTTTTTTTTTTTTTGAGACGGAGTCTCACTGTCACCCAGGTTGGAGTGCAGTGGTGCGATCTTGGCTCACTGCAAGCTCAACCTCCCAGATTCATGCCATTCTCCTGCCTCAGTCTCCCGAGTAGCTGGCACTACAGGCGCCCGCCACCTCACCTGGCTAGTTTTTTGTATTTTTTTTTTAGTAAAGAGAGGGTTTCAGCATGTTAACCAGGATGGTCTTGATCTCCTGACCTCGTGATCCGCCCACCTTGGCCTCCCAAAGTGCTGGGATTACAGGTGTGAACCACCACACTCGGCCGACCCCATTTTTATATTAATGATGTCCTTATAGGCCCTCTCTCCAAATACAGTCACATTGTGAAATACTGCAGCTTAGGACTTTGACATATAAATTTTGGGCCAACACAGTTCAGTGCACGACACCAGGCAATATCTAATTGTGTTAAGTTCTTCCTATTTTGCGGATCTCCCTTTTTTTGCAAACGGAATCAATAATGTGTTTTAAACTTACTTAATTTCGGCCATACGCAGTGGCTCACGCCTGTAATCCCAGCACTTTAGGAGGCCGAGGCGGGCAGATCACCTGAGGTCAGGAGTTCAAGACCAACCTGACCAACATGGTGAATCCCCGTCTCTACTAAAAATACAAACATTAGCTGGGTGTGGTGATGCACGCCTGAAATCCAAGCTACTTGGGAGACTGAGGCAGGAAAATCGCTAGAACCCAGGAGGTGGAGATTGCAGTGAGCCAAGGTCGTGCCACTCTTCTCCAGCCTGGGCGACGAGAGCAAAACTCTGTCTCAAAACACAAAAACAAAAACAAAAATACTTACTTAATTTGATCATCAGTGATAGAGCCCTTTCCAGGTCCGGTACCGTGGTTGGCCCTGGGGATGAAATGATGGTGGGGTCCAATGGGGTGACATGTCACAGCCCTAGTGTGGCACTGGCACTGGCATCACACGCTGGCCCTGAACTTCTATCCTGGGTGGAGGAGGCGGGCCAGCCTGCAGCGTAGTAAGCGCCTTCCCTCCTTTAGCCTCCCTGGGAGGGAGGAGGGGGAAAGCTCAGTGGAGCCCTTGGCTGCGTCTCGGAGATGAGGTTGAGTTCTGTACGACTCAAAAGCATCATGAGCAGAGGAGAAAGTGCAGGGCCTAGGATGGGTGTGGGTGGTGCCGAGGGACATGACTCTGAAGCTGGCGTGAAGTCCAGAGCTGCAGAACTAACTTTACATTGTTGGAGCTGTCTGTGGTACTTTGTGATGGCAGCCTACACAAACACACACACCAGCCCTTGAATCCAGGCTGGCCTGAGGCCTCGCTGTGACCTGGAGAACGCAGTGGAAGTGCCTCGAGACACACCGACGCTTCCACTCTTGCCCTCCTGCTGCCCTGAGATGCCTTGTTAATTCTCCCAGGCAGACCCCCTGGGGGATGAGGCCGTGTGGAGAGGGAGGCCCCACTGCCAGCCAGCACCAGCCTCCAGATGGGTGAGCCAGGTCGTCTTAGACAACTGGGGCCACATGAGTGACCCCGGGCCACAGCAGCCCCAACTGCTCGCCCACAGATAGAATCATGAACCAATTAAATGGTGGTTGTCTTAAGTCAATATATTTTGGTGGGGATGGGGGGTTCTTACGCAGCAATGGATAACTAGACATTAAATTTGGGCTGGAAACTAAATAAAATAAATAAAAATAAGATAAAAATAAATACAGAGCCTATGCACCAGGCTAAAAGGATTTCCCAAAATTCATTCATTCAGTAAATGCCATTTGAGTGCCCACCAAGGCCAGGCGCTGTTCTAGGCACTTGGGATATATCAGTGAGCAAAACAGACAGAGCTCCCTGCTTTCATGATAACCCTGATACACACAGTAAAAAGTAAAATGTGGTAAGTGAGATGGGAGAACATTCTAAATAGACAGGGTAAGAGGAAATACAGGGGTAAAAGATGGCAGACTGCAATTTTAAATAATGGCTGTCAGACGGGCTTGGTGGCTCACGCCTGTAATCCCAGCGCTTTGGGAGTCCAAGGCGGGCAGATCACCTGAGGTCGGGAGTTTGAGACCAGTCTGACCAACATGGAGAAACCCAATCTCTACTAAAAATAAAAAATTAGCCAGGCGCGGTGGTGCATGCCTGTAATCCCAGCTACTCAGGAGGCTGAGGCAGGAGAATCACTTGAACCCGGGAGGCAGAGGTTGCGGTGAGCTGAGATTGAGCCATTGCACTCCAGCCTGGGTGACAAGAGCAAAACTTCGTCTAAAATAAATAAAATAAAATAAATAATGGCTGTCAGGGTAGGCCTTACTGGGAATGTTATCGCCTACTTATTTGAGGAGAGACTAAAAGGAGGTGAACGCGGTACCCACATAGCTATTGGAGGGAGAGCATTAAGAGCAGAGGGAACAGCCGGTGCAAAGGTCCTGCTGTAGTTTGGAAATTGAAAATTGATCCTCAGTGTTGGAGGTGGCTCCAATGGGAGGTGTTTGGGTCATGGGGGTGGACCCTGATGAATAGATGAATGCCCTCCCTGGGGTGCGGGGCAGTCAGTGAATTCTTGCTCTGTTAGTTCCTGAGATAACTGGTTGTTGAGAGAGCCTGGCCCCTCCCCTCTCTCTCTTGCTTCCTGTCCTGCTATGTGGTCTCTGCACACACCAGCTCCCCCTTGCCTTCTGCCATCAGTGCCCTCACCAGAAGCAGATGCCAGCGCCATGCTTCCTGTACAAGCTGCAGAACTGTGAGCCAAATAAGCCTCTTTTCTTAATATTAA